GTGATTCCATCAGAGTTTTTTTTTATTTGTTCGACCAGTTGCCGGAAAAAGCTAAATACAAATTTCTTCCCCCCTCGCCCTTACCATTAACCACCTTTTAGGTACACTCGCTCTGGAGTCCACGTGTGTGCAAGAGATGTATTACCCTCGAAACTCATTGCAACCCTCACACGTACATATATATATACATACAACAATGATACACACGTCACGTCTTCCCTCTTTCGCGCTCCCAGTGAGCCACAGCCCTCGTGTGTATATATATACAATACCCCATGATGCTATACATCACATCCCCATCTCTCCGTATGTGTATACCTACTCTCAAAGAGCGCCACCATCGGCTTATATATGTGCCAATACACCCCTCTTTTACTCCTATCTATCTGTTTGAGACTGAAGCTGATGTTCATACACATATATATATTGGGTTTGCAAAATCGAGTTTGGGGGGTATAAGACAATAGCAGGGAGTGTTAATTACGAGAGTAACCTGCGTATATTATGTACTTCTATGAAGCGAAAAATTTTTTTAAATTTTTTAACATAAAAGTAATGGAAAATAAAAAAAAATTTTTTTAATAGTTTGAAAAATCCATGAAATAATTATGCCCTAGTCTGGCTATTGCAAAATGTAATAGTTTGTTTTTAAAAACTGTCGTATACAGCCCATTTATGCACATCTACAAACACAACGCGCTACACGTCAATGCAAGCAGCCTATAAAAATATATACATGTATACACGCAACAATACAATTACGGAAAAAAAAGCGTTGCGAGCAAAAATTAAGTATTGAATTTTTGTTTGTTCAACTATGGCTACATGAATTACAACGCGATTCGAAAAATATTTCAAAATTGTACAACTTTGATCCGATCGAAGAAAAAAAAGGATAATTCAGACTATTGTAAAGTAACGAAAAATTGGTACAGCACAAATGGTTGAGTGCCGATGCAGCGATACTCGACGAACGCTATTGAATGATAACCAATTTTGCCGTTAATCAAGTTAATTTACACGATTAGGTAATCTAAAAAAAAAAAAAAAAAAA